AACTCTTCTCTCTCTCGCGGTGGCAATAGAATGTAAATAAGATGTTACAGCACGTACCTATATATGTATATGTGTACGATAATAGTTGAACGAATGCAGCAAATTAAGAACAGTTCCTCCGGCCTCTCGCATTTGCCATTTTTATCTCTCTCTCTCTCTCTCTCTCTCGTTTTAATAATGCAATGGTCCAATTTTTTTTGTTTCGTCAAATAACGAACTGGCGTAAATCGAGACTAACCCAACGTCTCTCGAGCTTGGACTAAAATGGAATTTTACTTATTTTTACTGTGATTCAGTTATGCAAATGGATTATTGAAAACTTTTCATTATACTGGTCACATTTTTAAAACCTTTTGTATATGTATTCGAATTACATTAAAAGCACGAATAAAATCAGCGAAGCAAGAAATGTCGCAGTATCCTTTCAATACGTAGAATTCTTTTATCTTTAATGTTTCTCATTCATTTTAGAAACGGATATATGGAAAACTCTGAATAATAACTGTATTTATATGATATTGTTTTTATATGGTTCGCTCTGTCTATCCCACATCTCACATCTCTTAATGGAAACGAGTAAAAACATTGTTTCCTATTTCCGGGAAAAGACAGATAAATATATGAAACTCGTCCTTTTCTACCAAGCTCATATATCCCTCTCTCTTGTATTACATAAAAAATTGAAAATTGGATATTCGACGTGGTCCACAATTGTCCGCGATACAGTGTCAACGCGATGTGATCGTGTTTCTGTCTGTCGGTATCGATTGACAATCCACAGAATTTCCCAGGTTTATCAGGCGGCCCATCAGGACATCAAGACACCTCGCAAGAGTTTTTTTCGCTCTTCGATCGCGGGCTCGCTCAACAATTTTTCCGTCGCTTCCCGTCGCTAACATTCACGCTGGAGGAGCAAACCTGAGCGCAATCCCTTCCCGCCCGAGTACGCATCACCGCCGCCACGTTCCTCCGCGTCACCCCGCGCCCTCACCTGGCGTCCCAGCGTTATACAACGGCGTACAGACAGACAGGTACCGACACGAAGAACAACCCTCTCGCACACACCACCGCGCCGACCCTCTCTTCCTCTTCCCGGTCTCTTCTCCCTCGACGCGCGGCTGCGCAGAGGAACGGCGCGAGGCGTCGGCGTCGACGTCGTCGTCGGCGTCGGCGTCGGCGTCATGCCGGGGGCGTCGCACCATCGTCGTCGGCAGCGAGCGTCTCGACCGAGCGTCGCCTCGTCTCGCCAGGCTAGTATCAAGCCGGGGAGCCGTCGAGAGGGTCGATTCACCTTCGAGAATCGGGTCTACTGATCGCGGCCAGCAGCCACGACGAGAACGGCGAACGAGGATTTCCGTGGTTTCGCGCGCGTTGTTCCGACGTGTACGTTCAGTTACGCTGAAACCCTCCTCCCTCGAGTGGCGAGAGAAAGAGCGCGCGCGAGATAGACAGAGAGAGAGAGAGAGAGAGAGAGAGAGAGGGAGAGAGAGAAGGAAAAATGGAGCGCGCGGCCGGATCGATCGCGATACGAACGGATGGCTGACTCGAGAGTGAACCGCGAACGAGTAGCGTAGTCGTCTGACTCGGCCCGACGAGCGGGGATCCCGTGCCGTGCCGTGCTGTGCCGGCGCCATTGAACGCCACCACGAGCCACGTTCGCCACGGGGGAAAAACGGCGACGTCGTCACCGAACGTGTGCCGTGTGATCATCCCCCGGCATCACTCGCGATTCTGCGTCGCGGACGGCGGAGAGGGAGGGACAGAGTCTGGTGTGTGGTGAAAGTGCTCATCGCGTGATTAGGTCGAGGTCGTGTCGCTCGTCACTGGGACCCGCTCCTCTCTCTCTCTCTCCATCCCGGTGACCTTCGGTGGTACGGGGGATGAAGCGCGAAGCCAGGTGACGTTCCACGCGATTCGGACTGAAGCTTGCTCGCGCCCGAGCGGTTCGCGCGTCGCGAGCGACTCCGCGAGACGTGGTTGGTATCCGCGCCGAAGAAGCCGCGGCGAAAGTGTGTCATCGACGCGACGTGACGCGACGCGACGTGACGCGACGCGTCGCATTACGGGGCGACTCTCGCGCGAGGTTTGGCTCGCAACTTATATAGGCATTCTCGAAGTCCCCGATATCTCGACATCGTGAGACAATTGTCCCCTGCATTGCTATGCGCGACCTATCTGAGGATTCGCTAGGACACGAAAGTTCCGAGAGACAGGAAGAGACTGGAAGTCGCACCAACGATCTTCTGACAGTTACTGAATTTTCCATATCCTTTACCTTCTCGCTAGAAATCGTCTAGTCCTAGATTCGAACGCGCAATTGAGAGACCTTCTCAGCAGACAACGTATGCACGTGATTTATTTCGTCATCGACGTTCTGAAGAGCCAACTTCCTCTTTGCTGTCTGTGCTCCATCTTCAACGAAGATTTCTATCAGTGGAATGAGTCTGGAGAAATAATTGGTCATTTTCTCAGAAAGTCGGAATCTTGGAAGGAAAACGAGAAGGCATTAGATCAGCCTTGCGACGGATTGTAAAGAAACAAAGTCCGCGCTCTGTGAGACATCTGAGCAAAACGTCGATACTCCTTTCTGCCCCGTCGAGCGCACTTCAGTGACTATGATCGATATTGATCGATTTTCCGTGAAAAATATAATGCTGGCACAAGATTGAATTCTACTGCGATCGAACAGTGTTATTAAGCGGTAAATCTAACTCGTGTTCTTCAGAGGAAAGTACGTTATCCCAGTCTCAATCTTCGATTGATTTTAAATCGTACAGAAGTAATATAATAAACGTGTGGTTGAAGCGCTCTTGTTTCCTCGAGAAACTTTTCGTTGTCAATCGATTGGTGTACATTATATATATATATACACGCGCGTAAAGGGAAAAGTACTGTGGATTCTTTTATCTTCAGTGTTTTTGGAGTGAGCCCGGGAGATAATTTACGAATCTTGATGCGTCCAATTAACAGACTGAACTTGAAATTGAAAACATATCCAGAAATATCGACTTTTATGAAAATAATGAACGAATTTCCTGCTAATTGAAATAATTCTACCAAAGCTAAGGTTTCAAAGAGAGTATCATTTTACGGATAATTATTAACGAAGTACGTTTTCATAAGCATTATATCGTTGTAACTTATCTCAACAGAAAGGGGTATCTCCGAAAATTTAATAACCAAGATAAATCACAATTTTGGTACGAACGTGTCCGACCGCTATCGAGTTCATTAATTTTTCGAGACCAGTATTGGAAAACGAAACTTTCCCGCTCGACGTGTTTGTTCAGTAAGAGCTCACTCGAGGAGTCGCCAGTCGAGAAGACACTCGGGTAATTTACACAAGGGCAAGTGGAAGAAGAACAGAGAAAGAGAAAGAGAAAGAGAGAGAGAGGGGAAATTGACGAGTACGCACGAGAGCCAGCGCGTACGCTCAACGAAATCGCATATCACACACCCAACCCACGCACGATTCGCGCGTGCGTGCTCACGTGCTTCACGGATGCGACCGGGTGGTGCAACGTGGCCAGCGTCACGCACCCACGCCTCGAGCGCCCACGCGAGATGCGTATGAGCGCGTGACGTCCTTCGCGCGCGTCGTCATCACACGGTTAAAACGGTCCCGGGACAGGGCTGCGCGAATGAGCTGCAGGATCTAGCGGGAGATCTTCGGAGTCCAGTGACGAAGTGAATCATGAATCCCACGCTTTTGCCGGCGCCGCTTCTGCTGGCGGTGCTGCTCGGCTGCGTCTGCCAGGTGGCCCGGTCCTTCCTGCTGGAGGGCTCCGCGACCAGCTACGCGCAATTTCGCAAATGGAACGCCGGCCTGAACGGCACCCTCGAGTTCGAGTTCAAGACCGAGCAGGGCAACGGGCTGCTGCTGTACACGGACGACGGCGGCACTTACGACTTCTTCGAGGTCAAACTGGTCGAGAGCGCTCTCCGGCTGAGGTACAACCTCGGCGGCGGGGCGCAGATCGTCACGGTCGGCCACGACCTCGGCGACGGGCACTGGCACAAGGTGCAGATCAGCAGGTGCAACGAGAACACCACCCTGACCGTGGACGGGATCGGCGCGGTCTCGACGTCGCGCGGCAAGGAATTCGAGTTCGGCAAGCTCGCCGGGAACTCGGACGTCTACGTGGGCGGTATGCCTAGCTGGTACAACAGCAAGCTGACGCTGTTGGCGCTGCCTAGCGTGATATTCGAGCCGAGGTTCAATGGATTTATTAGGAATCTCGTGTATGCCGACGGAGAGAATAGTGTGCCCAGGAGGCAGGAGATGAAGAGTCGGGACGCCAAGGTATGCGAGAGTGCTACCCATCTCTCTCTTTTTTACGTTCACTTCGTTCATTACAACGTTTGCTTCTCGATTCGTTCGAATCGGAAGATATTTTAGCGCGAAATTCTATGGAAAGTACACACAGGTTCTAAATGTGGATTCTAAATCCAGATTCCGTGCTGTCTTTGCGAATTAGCCATGGCGCGTTCGCGATGTCGAGCATAGCTTGGATGACCGTTCTCTAATATTTGTAGAAGTCTCGTCTCACCATGCACGACATAATTAATAGAAATAATATTAATATTACACAAAATTACGTTCCGTACGTATCTTTTCCTTATCGTTTCCCAAGTCGCTTGTAATCTATCATCACGGTCCAATTTTTTCGCGCGGATACTCCATCGCGAAGAGGCATTTCCGTAACGTACGTGACCGAAATAAGAGAAAGGGTCGTTCGCGTTCGGAGATCGAAGGTCGCCGGCAAATTGGAAGGGCGCCAATCACGGATTTATCGGACAATCCGATTTTGTTAACGGACCGCACGATTATTCCACCGGCGCAATTATCCTGGAAAGCAAAAGTATTGCCTAACTCAAGACTCGCGACGTGGTATAAATGGTTTATCATTCCGATATTTCGCCGATAATCACATCACAATTATTATCCTATTGAGGAATCTCGAGGCGCGTCTTCCACTCGAGAGTTGCATACATTTATTAAGTATTACGTTATATACATTTATTAAGTATAACTAATACAATAATTATCGCAAGCAATGTTTCATTTAAGACGCGTTCGTTATTCTGAAAAAAAGCACGATTAATAATGAAACTTAGTGCTTGTCTCTCACTCGCTTTCACACATGTTTCCATCCCCTTTTTCTGATCCGCAGTATCCTGTATTAACGTTATAACAATGCGGATCGCGGAAGTTGTCGTCTTCTATCGAAGAATCGATACACGATGGTCAGAACAATGCACGTTGTATAACCAGCAGTGTCATTGGCCGTGTGCAACACCGCGCGGCCGTTAGCTGAGTCAGGTTCATCGAGAGGATTCCTCTTGACGCGCGCGGCTACGGTAAAAGCGTGTGCGTGCGCTCCGTCAGCATAAAATCGAGACTTTCTCTACCGCGAATCGCGCGTACACAAGGGAGTAAAAATAAATCCCTCCCATTTAGAGGGAAAGAGAGGAGAATCTCTCCCTCTGCCTGCTGCTATTTTATCGCTCACTTCCGACGATCGATATTCTCTCTCTCTCTCTCTCTCTCTCTCTCTCTCTCTCTCTCTTCTCTTCGGAGGCAACATCTTCGAGGGATAAGAGCTCCCTTTCTTCCTCGATTTTTGTGCGTGCGATAATTAGCAGGCGGATAATCCCGCTCTCGAGTAAAAGTTCAGCTCCCACGCTCCGGATGCGGTGTCTGCCAAGGGTCTCTCGCGAAGCGAGGCTTGTCTACGCAAGGGTCTATTTAATTGTTGGATGTATTATTCAGGAGCTAAAAACGTCCGTTTATTCATCTTTCATGACGTAAAGACCAGGAAGATCACATTACGCTTTCTACGTCTAGTTAAAAATTAAACTCTACTAAATATAATGGTCGTACCTTTTTCTGGTAACGCTCGTCACTGTTACCTCAATTCAACGTAATTTAATTACTTCAATTTGATAATGGTAATATCGGATAATTATATATTAACTTCCGCGCTCGAAGCAAATTAAGACGAGTCTCTTTCTTTTATAATAACGTTTCCCACTCCAATACGCCTGTCCGCCGGTGTCCCATGACAGAATTTACTATGTGTCATACCGTGGAACCTGCAAGCTCGGTTCATATTTCTCTCAATGGCCGTCTGCCAAGAATTCCTCCATCTACTCTTCGGATATGTATCCTGCTTTATCCAAGTATCCCCGGAATCTTGTATCCCATTCCGAAAGTAATCTTGTCGTACTTAGCAAATAGCAGTCGGACGTGCACATTATTCTCGCGATGATAGCCGACATCTCGATATCGGGAGCACAGATTGACATTTCGTTTTCATGCATACGAATGTTGTCGCCGAATGTTTAACCGTTTTTGTAGTATACATTTTGAACTTTATGTCAAAGTATTTTTCTTAATTTATGAGTGAAATTAAAATCTAAAATAATAAACGGAACTTGTATTATTTAAAAATCTTATCTAATACGCGAATCTTATTTAATCTTTAATATGCGAAAAGTATCACTCCAGAGGGTGGGTTAGCACTACAAAAGCTCACCGTCCAGAGGGTTAAGTACGTATATTCGTAAATTTAGTCACCTTGCTGCTCGATTGGCCGCACGCGGTTACGAGGCGCGCATCCGCTTACGATTAGATAAGGCGACAAATCGAGAATATCCGTCAGGTGGATCGCCATGCGATTGCCAGTACAACGATGTAACCCGGCCGACGTTATCGTTCTCCGTACATCCATACGTGACGTTACGGCAACGCAGATAGATAACCCAGATTTATCAGGGCGCGCAAGAAATTGCGGACAACACATTATTACTTAATTACTTCCCCTCCACGAACGTACGTAGGAATAAGTTCTGACGATTATTGTCTAAAGTTTATCGGAACATTTTGCTAATTATATTAATTAAGAGACGCAAGCAGGATCTGGCGAAATTCAATTCCAAGTTCCAGATGAGCGAACCGAGGATTTCATACATAATTGTAATACGGAATACGTATGGTAGAGTAGCCCCAATTATCGTTCTTCAATGCATACCCCTTTCTTTCAAATCCAATCTTGATTCTCTCATTACGACGCCGCCCGCGCGCTTTACATTGTGCCCCCATTATGTGAGCGGGGAAGATAAACGAGTTACGCTAGGTAGAAAATCGTCATTTCCTACGCGAAACGCCGCGGCTCTCGCCAACCGCCCACGCTGCTCCGTATTAATATTATTTTTCTGTCGTTAACGTCGTAATGTACGCGCGGCACGAAAAGCGATTATCAGACGTACGCGGGGTAGCAAAGCGCGATCAACGGGGGCTACTGCTAAATGACTGTCGTGGAAAAAGCGAGCAATTACTCGCGTAGGAAGCAATTATTTCGTACCTGTTACACCTTCGCCGTGACTATATCACGCATACAGAATGAATTAAGCAGTCGCTGAATAAATAGGGAGAATGAGGAAAGGATTATTTATAGCGCTGTGTGAACGTTGGATTTCGCGCTGATCGTCAAATCGTAGAAGGGTTAATGTGACGTAGTTAATTATCGGGAGTAGACGAATGGAGCTTCAATCGATAATATGCATAATACGAGCAGACATTTGATAATTCGAATTAAAATCGCTCTAAAAAAAATGCATATGTAAAACGCGTAATTGAAATTACTTTGAAACAAAATGGTACTTACTGTCCAAGAAACACGCTTTAATAACGTAACAACCGTGTCTTTAGCGCTTAAATATATCTACCAAGAGCTCGAGCTGTCGCGGAGAGAACAAGCGAGGCAGTTACAGTTCGTCGCCGTTTAGGTGATTAAACGGATTAAACGAGAAGATAAATTAATTAATTAATTTGCACGGGGGAAGTATATGTACTGCAGTATATATACCATGAAACTGTGAAATTCGTTTCGCGGTAACGCTGTATCGTTTCAAGGAACACACGCGTGTGTCTCGGGCCGTTGTACGCGTGGGCGGCCTTAATAATGACCGCGTTTCAAAGAACGGAAAGCAACCAAGATAGATCTCTATCGGATAATAATAATGTGGAGCGACAAGTCCGGCGGACAGTACAAATTGCGGGGTAGACACGCCAAAGCGCGCACCGTCGCACTCGAGCCAAACGAAAATAACGTATATATATATCGCACATGCACGACAAACACGTCGGCCTCTCGCGTACATCAATGCGTAATGACTATCGAATGATTACGTGCAAATTCCTAATATAGTATACTCTGTTGTAACGCTTACAATTGTACGTATTAGATAATTAGAAAAATACTCCCTCCATACTGTTAAATAGTGTCAAATTTAACCTTAGTCACTGCTCCTTAATAAATAATTATTTTGAACTAAAATCGTGGAGTTAAATAATTTAGAACAGTTCAAATTCAACCCAAATTTGGGTTAAATTCCATTGTTTTATTTAAAAATAACTATTAAGTAGGAGCAGTGGCGACTTAGGTAAGGTTAAATTTGAAACTATATAGATTTAACAGTGTAATTTTCCATAAATCTGTCTTCGTTAAAAGTTGCAGCAAATATTGTTTTTACTACATGATTCACTGGAAAGGTAACAAATCTTTCAGCTGTCACTTTAACGAATTAGTTTGTTGGAGGGGGGAGGGGGGCGATTAAATAATTAAAATAATTTTGGGAAGTGGTTTACAGATAAACTCTGTTCCATCTCGGGTTATTTGAGTTACTAAAAGCACTTCTATTTTGAACGTCTCAAATTTAAACAATTGCTCAACTGCAAAACGTGAATAGACTTATGTGTCAGGAAATAGTTCGCAAAATTCAAACAAAGTGAATTTAATCTCTCCGAGGAATCTCGATCTGCTCGTCCGCTCTGCACATTTATGACAATATTATTTTTATGAATTCCAATCCATAAATATCGAGTCAAGAAGTTGCTGACATATCGACAATTCAACAACAATTTGACATGTTTTATCATTTTCCTTACGTATAACGCGAACTACTTGATTTTTTTAACTAAAATGAACATTTGCGAATTTTTGCGAACATGAAGAAATAACGTTATATTTTTAAAATGTAATTTCTTTTTAACGTAAATAAACCATATCATAAAATATATAAAATGATGCAAAAAATTATGTATGCTTTAGCGTATGCTTTAATACCTCATTTAATGTCTAAACAGGTTTTTATTATTCGCTGCAATGTCGAAAAAAATATCGGATTAGGATGACGATTAATTCGCGATTATCAATCAATGTCGAAGGGAAAACTTGTTATAACTGCAACGCTATCCCCTCATCGCTCTATTAATCACACTTATCTTTTTTCTTTTTG